CACGGGCAGGAGCTGAGCGACCACCCGCACGACGACCGCCAGGGCTTCCAGTACGACCACGAGGCCTTCCTGGGCAAGGAGCAAGCCAAGACCTTCGACCAGCTCACGCCCGAGGAGAGCCGGGAGCGCCTGGGGTGAGCCAGAGAACCCCGGAGTCCGGGTCCCAGCCCCGCCCCCCCAGCTCTAACCACTAGACCCCACTGCCCTCCCAGAGCTGGGAGAGAACCCAGGAGTCCTGGCCCCCGCCCCCCCTGCCCTAACCCCTGCACCCCCCCCCCTCCCAGAGCTGGGAGAGAACCCAGGAATCCTGGATTCTCTCCCTGTTTGTGGGACCCCTCCGTCCATTCTCTGTAGAGGGGCTGGGGGTGGGACCCAGGCGTCCAGTGCCCCCTGACATGCCCCCCCCCCCCCGGCAGGAAGATCGTGGATCGGATCGACCGGGACAAGGACGGCTTCGTGACCCAGGCCGAGCTGAAGGACTGGATCAAGCACACCCAGAACCGGTACATCTTCGAGAACGTGCAGAAGAACTGGCCGGACTACGACCGGGACGGCGACGGGCGCATCGCCTGGCCCGAGTTCAAGAACGCCACCTACGGCTACTATGAGGGTGAGGGGGGCCGGGGGCCTGCACCAGCGCCAGCCCCCCCCCAGGGTCCTGCTCCGGCCATGCGAGACCCTGCCCCCCACGGCTCCCCGGGTTCTCTCCCTGGCCCTGGGAGGGGAGTGGGGGCTAATGGTTAGAGCAGGGGGGACTGGGAGCCAGGACTCCTGGGTTCTCTCCCTGGCCCTGGGAGGGGAGTGGGAGCTGGTGGTTAGAGCAGGGGGGGCTGGGAGCCAGGACTCCTGGGTTCTCTCCCTGGCTCTGGGAGGGGAGTGGGGGCTGCTGGCCGGAAGGTGAGATGCCCGGCCATAGGGAGGGGGAGCTACTGAGGGGTTAGGGTGGCAGTGGGGGGGAGGTCGGGGGAGTGAGCAGGCTGTTATGCTGGGGGTGAGTCAGGCCCCAGCTGGGATGGGAGAGGCAGGGTGGAGGGGGCCAGGGCCTGCTATGGGGCAGGATAGGGCAGCCCTGAGAGAGGGACCCCCCCCCCCCAACTCCCCAGAGCAGCTGGGTGGTGTCTCTGTCGCCACCGTGTGGCTAGCGAGGGAATAACCTGCTTGATGGGGGAGTTCTGAAGGCAACAGAACTGGGGCGGGGGCTGGGCTGGGAGCCAGGACTCCTGGGTTCCATCCCCAGGCTGGGGGCTCACAGTTCCACGCCCCCAGGGGAGGAGTTTGGTGACCTGGAGGACAAACAGTCCTACCGCAAGATGCTGGCGCGGGACGAGCGGCGCTTCAGGGCGGCCGACCGGGACGGAGACATGGTCGCCACGCGGGAGGAGTTCACCGCCTTCCTGCACCCCGAGGAGTTCGACTACATGAAGGACATCGTCGTCACGGTGAGGGGCCCGGACGCCTGGGTTCCCTCCCCGGCTCTGGGAGGGGAGTGGGGACTAGTGGTTAGAGCAGGAGGGGGCTGGTAGCCAGCACTCCTGGGTTCCCCTGGATGCATTCACTGCACCCCTATCCCCCAATTCCTGTCTCCAGCCAGGAACCCCTCAGCCCGGGGGAAGCTGAGGCTGGGGGAAGGGGGGGGTCAGTGTTCCCACTGCTGTTCCCATGATGCTCAGCACCTAATTCCTGCCTCCCCCAGGAAACGATTGAAGACATTGACAAGAACGGGGACGGCTACGTGCAAGTGGACGAGTACATCGGTGAGTGGGGGGGCTGGGGGGAGCCCTGGGGGGGAGGGTTGGAGACAGCGGGAGCCTGGCCTGGGGGGTTCCAGGCCCTGAGTCTCTCCACACCCCCCCCCCCCAGGCGACATGTACACCCCCGAGAGCGGTGAGCCGGAGCCCGACTGGGTGCAGAGCGAGCGGCAGCAGTTCCTGGATTTCCGGGACCTGGACCGGGACGGGCGGCTGGACCGGGCCGAGATCGGCCACTGGATCCTGCCCCAGGACTACGACCACCCCGAGGTGGAGGCCAAGCACCTGCTCTTCGAGTCCGACAAGGACAAGGTGAGTGGCGGGAGAGGGCGGGGCTGACCCGAGCTGGAGGGGGGGCGGGGCTGACCAGAGGCGGAGGGGGGGAGCCAGGACACCCCCCCACTGTAACCGGCTCTGCCCCCGCAGGACGAGCGGCTGACGAAGCAGGAGATCCTCGACAACTGGAACATGTTCGTGGGCAGCCAAGCCACCAACTACGGGGAGGATCTGACCCGCAAACACGACGAACTGTGACCCTGCCCCCCACAACGCCACTGCAAGGACCCTGGGGGGAGGGGACTTATTTATTGGGGGGCTATATGGATTGGGAGATGTGACATTTACTCTGACTTGTGGTAGGGCACGGACTAGGAGGCTGGGGGCGAGGGGCTGGGAGCCAGGACTCCTGGGTTCTCCGCCACCACCCCCCACACACACACTCTGGGGTTAGAGCGGAGGAAGGGCAGCACTCCTGGGTTCCATCCCCAGCTCCGCGTGCCCAGGGAGAGCCATTCCCTTCCCTGTGCCTCGGTTTACCTGTGGGCTGCTGACAGAACAGACACCTCCCCCCTCCCACCTGCACTGTAAAAAGCAACAGTATTAACACGGGGGGGGGCTGATGGACACACACAAATCCCCCCCCCGCTGTGACCGAGGTTTCTAGGCCCCGCCCCTCACTCGCTATCAAAATGGCCGCTGTGGTGGGGCACAGGAGCAGCTCCCCCAGCCCCACCCCCCCGCTTCTGCAGCAGGCATTAGTTGCCAGCGAGTGGGCGGGGGGTGCAGGGATGGGGGGATCGGGGCTGCTGGGGGGGTCACACAGCTGTACACACACACGCTGCAATAAACAGGGTCCCCCCCACCTCCGCCAGGCTGTGTTTTCTGTGTTGGGGAGGGGGGTCAGGGCCTTTCCCCATGGCGGGGGGCATGCACCAGCTCCCATCTGGCCCTTTCCCCTCTGGGGGGGCAGGGACTGGCTGGCTTAGGGGGGTGGCCCTAGGATGGAGAGGGGGCCCAGGGCCTTTCTGGCCCAAAGCACATGGGGGTGGCCCCTGGCTCAAACAGTCCCGCCCTGCCAGGGGGCAAATACCCCTTTTGAGCCCCCCCCCGCCCATTTTGATCCTGCGGGCGGGTACTCCCCAGGGCCTTGGCCGGGTGCGGTGGGTCCCCGGGGCTGGGCAGGGGGCTGTGGGCTGCAGAGCCAGGCTGTGCCCCCGGGAGCTGGCGTGGGTGGGAGCTGGGGGCAGCGGGTGGCTTTGCTCTGCGGCCTGCACTGGCGCTGGG